GTTGAATTGTAATTTTGTGTTTGTAATTCTGTACAGTTAATTAAGTTATTGTTAACTGTTATTGGTTTATCATATGTGGTTATTGTTCGGGACGAACAATACTAAGGAGGGGGCAGTGTTGCGTCAGCGAGGTCACATGACTAGTGTCAAGCCACCTGCTTTCTAGAACTATCCCGTTCCTTCGGGAGTGCTCTAGCATTTACTAGATTGGGGGGTGGTTTGGTATATACAAGATGGTCACGGCGTGACGTGACAATGTGTGTGTAGACAGTGAGTAATTGATCTGCAGTCAGAGAGTATTGTTGAAGTTGAGCACATTCGTTGTTATAGCATTTGTTTTAGCGAGATTGTTGAAATTAAGTGTATCGTAAAGTTATATTCAGAAAGAATAAACCAGTTTTATTAAGAAAGGACTGGTGTCGCTAAAGTTTCGTCGGAAAAAATTTACGGGAAATCAATTAACAAACGGAGACGTAACAATATCTATAATTATTATTATATGTTTGTAACTAATAAGTGTTTTCTTTTCATTTACAGTAATCCTGATTTTTTAAAAGTTACTTCTGCTTTGTATAGAAATCACATACTCATATTGCTCCTGAGAATGTCTTAGTCTTCATGGTTGAGACTTGATAGATATATTAGTAGTTCTAAAGTTATTTTGCTACATACCATCAACAGTTCTAATGCAATATTAATACCTGGTTCATATCTAGACTGTAAAAGGAAATTATTAGTTCTTAAGTTATAAAGCCTATTAATTATCTTCTTTTGATTAAGTCTAAAGTGTAACTCTCAACTGTTTTCCTTTTCTAAATTAATGTCAACATAGATAACATGGTTTTTAATTATAATTCTCATTTATGTGTACTGTCTGTAATTCTAACATAGTACTAACACATAATGACTATAGTTCTGAAATATTTCTAATGGGCTATTGCTTGATATTAAAGACCAGTTACCATCTACAATAGCCTATAGCTCTTAATTTAAATTACTATCCTCTGCATGTAACTCTACCGGTGTTATAACTGTAAGGTCAGGCAAATGGCTTCCCCCAGCACAAGGGTGGTTAGAAAGTAAAACATCACCAGGCTGAATGTTGTCTCCAAGGTTTCTCATCTGTAAAACAAATAATCCTCATAAAATCTTTGTAGTTGGATATAAAACTTGCTGAACTAATTACAGTAACTATCATAGATACTTCCAGTAAAATACAAAAGAAGTTAACTAAAAAACAGTCCAAGAAGCAAGAAAAATAAAAATGGCATTTTAATAACTTTCTTGCAACTTCTAAAAGAAATCATTGTAGTGCACTACCCTAGAAAATTGAAATAATACCTATGGCTTCAAACCAAGCTATACATGTTCAAATCCTATCTTCTTCACATCCAAGCAGTCCTTTTAGAAGTCCTCCAAAGAGAGAGTAGCAAATTAATATTGAAAAAATTACTGTATAGGCTACTAACTATTATAGAGCAACCATTCTAGTTTACGAAAATATTATTCACACAATTTCAACAAATTTTCAAGAAAGCAAGAACACATTTAGGTTTCTGCCTACAATAGTAACCATTACGTTTTCTGTAATAATGTTTCAGTAACTTTGTGAGAAAAAATGACAATAATAATTTCAATAATTTTATCATTAGTGTTACAGAAGTTATCAATTATTTTGTGTAAAATGGTAACGAACATGACAACAGTAACTACTGTAGTTTTTCTGCAACTGTGCTTCATTAGTTTTCAGTAACTTTGTTAAATTCTTGATTACATACATGGGTAAGTATGTACTAAAAGTTTTTTACATTAGGTCACAAGTTTTATTAACATGGAATATTTTGAATAAATGACTTATTAAACATTAAGTTAATTATTTCACATAATATAATATGTTAATTCAAACTGTGATGATAGAAATTTTACCATATTTTGTAAATGGTTGTGGGAAAGTCATATACTTGTGCTAATTCTCTTCGTTAGAAGAAGTTACAATACTACAATGACTATTCCAAAGGGGTTATATTTGCTTGGCTATATTTTTTCATGCCCTCCTGGACTGATGTTATATTGGTTTAGAGCTAGTTATCGGATATTAGTTTGCCTGAAAACAACATATAAAGTTATCAAACTACATTCTGGTACTTTGACCAAAATACTTGTTTATTATGGTATTTATTTTGAGTGTGCTGGAGTTTTAAAATGTTATAATCATGAAAGGTCATTTTCTGAGATCATGCAGAACCTATGAAAGGTGGGGAGGAATCTGTAGTTGAGAAGAGGGCATGATCAGTAAAAAATGTGGAAAGGACTAAGAGAAGAGAGACCTCCTCTCAGACTAAAAGCTTTTGCCGATCATCCTAAACAGTTTTTAAACACATATCTACCTCATGATTTGATTATTAATTTTTTCAATCTATAAACATCCAATGAAATATCTTCCATGATTATAACTTCATTAACAGTTGAATTCTTTATTGCTTTTTTAGTACTTTATCTCCATTAAACAACCTATTTAAAAAAAATTCCTTTCTTCAAAATGGTTTGCACTTAAATATTCTGACCAGTGCTCTAAGGTAATTCATTTTATTTCTTATATTCTAGCATTACATCAACAACAGTTTAGTCTAGCATTAAAACTACTTTTGTTCTTTGTTCCTACACTATACTTTTCTCTACATCTTATTTCTTCTTCATTATTCTAGCATTCATTACTGTCTACTCACAGATTAAAGATGCCCTTACAGTTGAGTTAATAGCCCTTGCAAAGAAGCCAGACCCTACCTTATTTAAATGTAAACCATCCATTCCAAAAGCTCCCTTTGTTCATTGAACTGATCCCACAAATTCAACCAGCCAACTTCTCATCCTTACACATTAAAATATGCCTAGCATTCAGCCCTAGTGACTTACTTATAAGTTCATCCCCACAATTAAGTGATGACAGTATCCCTGACAAAATTAAGTTATTATGGCCCTTTTCTTTGAATGCCTTTATCAATACCTGCTGTTATGTGTCTTCTGCTAATTACCCTCTACATTCAGGGCAAATAATAGCAAAGATGAGTCATGGTGGCAACAAGGAGTGTGAAAGTCTCCAGACTAATTGGAGAAGTCTTTATGGGTCTCCAAGACACTCACAAACTATCCCAAGCATTGGTAAGTGCTGGTTTGAGTCACCTATGGCTGAGAACAGTGGTTGACAAAGTTTACCACTATTCTTGGAGCATTAGAAGTTAACATATTCCTCACCTGAAAATGTATTTCTGATAGATACTCACATCTTCACACAGTTTAGCTTCCTTCCTTGCACATTTGCCATTGAAACTTGCATGCCACTAGCCTTAAGGCAACTACTACATAATTTCATGTGTTTTAATGTGAACTGCATTGATGCATGATGACATCATCATGAAACAATAGGAGGGTGACACACATCCATGTGGAACAGCTCCCCTATGTACTTTCAATCCTTATACCTTCATTATTTTACAATGCAAATAAAATAAAGGCTCATTGGAAGTATGAAAAATAGGTGGGAATGTGTAAAGAGGTGAGTATCAATCAGAAATGTATTTGGGGTAAGAAAATGTTAAACTCTGAGAAGATAACCCACCTCCTCACACAGTTAAATTATACTCTCATGTTGATTTGGTGGAGGAACCTGTGCAAATGTAACCTAAATGTGCTCCCTTCAGAAAATGCCCAAAGGAAACTCATGAAGTGTAACCCCCAATGGCAGGAGCTTCATAGGAGCACACCTGTGGAAGACCACATATTGCCTCATCGAGGGTATACTCTTTGCCTGTAGAAGAAGAGAGGAAAATACAAATCAGCCCCATATATTGCAGGGAGAGGCAGAATGAGAACATGAACATCCTAGTACTTTCACACAAGTGGTCAGATAGCCAATATGTGTAGTGTGGTTGGGGTGAATTGAGACTGCACCTTGTGAGCACACCTCAACTCTACCATCATACTCCAGCTACAGGAGGAGGGACCAGTAGTCATGCCTTTGTGGTTTGGTTTGTTTTGAATTTCATGCAAAACTACACAAAGGCTATCTGCACTAATCATCCCTAATTTAGCAGTGATAAACTAGAGAGAAGGCAGCTAGTCAACACCACCCACCACCAACTCTTGAGCTACTCTTTTACCAATGAATAGTGGAATTGACCATCACATTAGAAAGCCACCCATGACAAAAAAGGCAAACATATTCGGTGTGACAGGGATTCAAACCCACAATCCTCAGATTGCGAGTCAAGAGCCCTAACTACTAGGCCATACCAGGCTCATGTCTTTGTGATTCATATACTGTGTGCACACTTCAACTCAACTGAACAGACATTGGCTATAGAAGGAGGGCACATAAAATATGTAGTATTGCTACATATATTATGTGCTCACCTTGACTTTACTGAATGAACACCATCTGCAGGAGGAAAGTACAGCTGCAGAATGTGTGCTCATCTTAACCCTAATGAACAGACTCATGTTGTAAGAGGAAGGCACAAATGACATGAGTGAAGTATATGAGGGATGACTTGCACTAAACTAACAGTGTCACCTCTGTTCCATTTCTCACCATATTGGTGCTCCTTTGTATAACAACAGCTGTTGAGTCCAATCGGTGAGGTTTCTCCATTGTCCACCACCCTAGTGGTTAGGAAATGATGAGTGGCAAGGGTCTCCCATGCTTCACTCAATGAAGGGGAAGAATTCACATTGAGGAGGCCCAGAGAAAAGTGCCCAGATCTCCCTCAGTTCTTCAGCCTGGAAAGGTCTTTTACTGGAAACAGTGCAATGAGTGACTGCAAAATGCTATTTTTAAATCCCAAAAAGTGTGAGCCAAAGAAGTGGGCAGAATATTTCCCTGGTGCTGGCTTTTCCAATGATAGTCCATAGAATAGGTACAGTTTTGATCAGACAATTGAGTAAATAGATATATATACAATGAGGATACCACAAGTGGTATTACAGAACACTCCATTTCCCAGTGAGCCCAGTTAGAGCAAGGGTGGATGATATAAGCACTTTCCATCATCCTGGCTCAATGTGGATTTTTGGTAAGTATACTAGGAGCCAACACCAACCACCTAGCAGGATCCTATGAAGTTAAAAAGGGGCTCTGAAAGAGAAATATTATGGTGGGTAGAATGAAGAATGGTGACCCATGGAAGCCAAAAACCATCAGGAAATAAAAACAGTCAAAAGGTGTAGAGAAGGAGATGACAAATGTGTGGAGAGTGTCCACTTGCCCACCTGATCTTGATCATCCAAGGGACAGTGAAGAAAAGTGGGCAAGAAAATGAAAAAGGTGATGAATCGAACACAAGAAGACACATAAGTGCATGACCCAAAGGAACGTGGGGCTTCAAGGAAGCTAAAGTCCCTAAAAAATGAAAAAATCTCCCAATCAGTACGAGAATGAAAAGTTTAAAACATGGTGACCAGATATGTCATAGCTCGAAAAAGAAAAGAGAAGGCTGAACTCAGTTGAGATGACAGACAGAGAAAACGAAGGTGCTGAAAAGTACCAAACATTGAATGGGTGTGAGAATGGACTTAAATTCCAGGATACCTACCCCCCCCCCCTCCACCCAAATGAGTAGCAACCATAAAAGAAAGGAGGTGGAAGAAAACAACAAGAATGAGCAAAAAGAAGTAAATTGTCAGAGACAAGAAACAACGACCCCAGGCAATGAATATGGCAAATGAAGGTCCTTAAATTACCAATAAATAGCAAAGGGGCTGACACTAAGTCAGAAGAAAAAGCAATGAATGGGAAGATGGAGAAAGATGGACGTAACATAGAAAACAAGTGGAGGATGGGCCAAAAGTGACCTATAGAATGATGTTCAACACTTAGACCATAACCAACTGCAGACTGTATGAAAAAGTCCAAAAATGGTGTCAGAGGGAGGTGAAGAGAAAATAAAAAGAGAAGAGGAGCAAGGAAAGAAAATAAGGAGGAGAAATAAAAAAAAACTGTTTGGGTAAAATGAGACTAGCACCAGGAGAACAGAAGGGCACCCACAGAAAAGTGAGTGTCAGTAAGTCACTAATACAAAGAGTGACAAACTAGACTTCATGTTGATGAGAAAAGGGGACAGACCAGG